TTGGTGCTAGTCCGAATTTCCACTCTGCCATTCTTCTCCAAGAATGGAATAGCTATCTCTCTCTTCCAGTTAAAGGACCCACCTATATAAACCTTGTATAAACTTTCTGGAAAAATGTTTCTGTTATTCTCAATGGCCTATGGATCTGTTCAAACATTTATGGTTGAGATGTCTCTATAACTGCTGGAAGCATTGTTGGTGCAATAAACTTTCCCCAAAAAGGATTCATGATCAGCCGAGTTTCTCTTAACAATATCTTTGATTCAAAAATAATCTCTATCTTCAATGTCTTTTCTGAGTTTGATTCCTCAGATCCAAAAAATCTTAAGCATCTTGCCAAAGAATGGTTTTCCTTTCTTCTAACAAATATTTGTCCTCGTGGTGCTAACAAAAATCTCTTGTCTAAAAATGATAAGATTATGATCTACTGTTTGATCAAACACATTCCAATTAACCTTCCTCAGACTATTTTTAAACATCTTAAAGAATATATCTCCTCATCTAGAAACTTGAATAAGTCTTTTATTCCATATGGAAGAATCTTGTAAGAAGTTTTCATTCAAGGTGAAATTATAATAATCTTTCGTTGACTTCAAATTGGTCCAAGTGATGCTTTGAAAGAAGATAGGTGTGACACTTTTGATGATCAGTGGCTCAAATAATTGTTAAGTCAATTATGTATTTTTTATGTTTGTCCCTCCTTTCTGTAATCTCTGATTCCTTAAATGTAATATGTGTTGTTCTGACTAATGTTTGTTTGCTTTAGTTGTTTTATTGAGTTTGTAATCTTATCTTTTAAATTAATGAATTATGTTTCCTATGTTAATTACCTTTTCAGCTTAAATTTTATCTATCTTCGTTACCTTTCTAATTGTACAACTAATCTGTGTGATTTATATTCCCTCTATCACCTTTTTTATTTCTGATAAATGGGGAGAAAGTAAAATGATTTTGATAATGATTATTCTCAGAGTATTAAACTCAAACATATAAAATGCTATTGCTACTAATTGTTTGTTTGATGTTTCTATCCAAGAACTCTAAACAAGTTCATTAAGTTTATTTTAAGATAGGTTGAAGATGAAGATCCTGATGAAAAGGCTGAAAACCTTATGGATGAAATCAACTATGATTTTATACAAATGATGTTATACACTTTATGAATATATGTATATTCAAACAGATGTACCAAACACAATTCACAAGTTATAAACTTATTGAAAGTAAGGTAATCTTGCTTAATATCATAGTGTTCAAAAGTTGTTAACTTTCTGAAAGCATGAAATTCATACTTAAAGCTCAGAGGTTGTGCTCTCTTGAAAGGAAAACAAGTCAACATTCTGATGCATGCTCTCATACATAGATTCCACTCGGAAGCTATGCTCTGATGTATGTGCTACAACAATGTACGCCTTATTCAGAAGTTGTGAACTGTATGAATGTTTGATACATTGGAATATATCATATCAAACATTGATGCTTGAAAAATATAGTGTTTTGGTTGTGATATTATAATCATGGAACAGAAGCATTGATACATGATGTGTGGCATTATTTAATCAGGCTCAAATTAAGTTTTGATTCTTCAAGTGCTGATAAAAACCAGGTTCTGAGATAAAGACCTGGTGTTCTAGTCAGACTTTGATGAGTTGTTGTAGGGAAGTGCTACTTCTCTATTCTATGTTCTGAACACTCAAAATTTATTTTGTGAGTCTTGGGCTCAGGGGGAGAATCTCAACAAGCTTAAATGAAATTTTTGGTTTAACAGATTTAGGGGTAGTTGTAAGCTTAACTCTAAATTTTTCGGTTATGGTGATTACCCTGTATAAATTGTTCTATCAAAATACATGGTTTTGTCATCATCAAAAAGGGGGAGATTGTAAGAACAAGAAGTGTTTCTACATCTGGCCTTGAGATTTCAATGATAACTTTACATGTTATCTTAGAGAACAATTTTATACACTAATGGTTTCATCTAGTGTGTAGCCGCTACTATAATGTTCTGACTCTGGTACAAGGCATGTGACGTCATCAGGTTCTGAACATACACTCTGGAAGAAAATATGTGGTTACGTGTTTTATTGAAGTCGAGGTTCTGAACTTATCTTCTGCAACGTGTCTTAGGAACATTAGTACAAGATGTTATGATTGTGACTTTGTGGTTAAGTTTTGGAGGCCTTTTAAAGCTTTACTTATGTGTTACAAGTTCTGAATATTATGAAGACTAGGTTCTACTGAACAAGTTCTGATGATCTGAAGAAAAGCAAAGTTCTTACAACCAAGTGCTGAAGAATCTAAAGACAAGGTTTTGTGTGACAAGTTCTGAACACTCCAAGACTTAGGTTCTAAGGCTTAAGAAAGATTATTCTAAAGCAAGCTTCAACATTAAATATTCAAATATCTGAAGCCTCTGAAGATAAGAAGAAAGTTCAAATGGTTAATGTGTGATGTTGTGCAAAAGGTATATAAAGTGTTTGTGACCTCTACCCTTTAGGGTGGCGTAAGGGCGGTCCTTTATACTGTATTGTCAACCACTCTCATTGTGACCGTTGGGAACAAACAACTGGATTTACATGTATCTTTTTTTACTTAATAGATCTCTATTTTCAATCTTAAATTGAAAAATATTATTCAGAGAAAAGGTGGAAAGCTATCATTAAACAGTGGCATGATACATAAATATTCTTTTATACTGTCTAAACTCTTACACCTTATTCTATCCGTTGGGAACTAATCATTAGGAAGGAAAATTCCTTTCTATCCTCACAACGTCTCTCTCTATCAAAGGCTATAAATGAAGATTGGAAATTCAAAGAAAGGTTTTCATTGATGTTTTCCATTGGCCATCAAGCTTCATTATATGAAAGGAAAGCAGTGAATGCTGAAGAGGTTAAAGCTGCAATGCTACACATTCTGAAGACCACTAAAGAAGAGAGAAAATAAAGAAATAAGATTTCAACAAGATGTCATTCAACTATCATCATATGCATCTTGGATGAAATAGAAGAAGCAAGGAGTTGTTTCTTGTAGCTTGCTCTAAGAAGAAGAAGACTACAAGATGTTATTCAACATTTAATCACATACATCTTGTTAAATCTAAGAAGATGCAAGGAGTTGTTGCACATAGAGTGCTCAACAAGAATATGAAGAAGAACACTACAAGATGCTACTCAACTTCTGATCATATACATCTTTGTATAAAATTGTAATGAACACTAGAGTTGTTGCTCGTATAGTGTTTATGTTTATATCTCTTCATGTAAATTATTTTAACACTTTATTTATTGCTCGGAAAGGTGTTAAACAATATTTTCTTAAAACACTTGTTTAATCTGCTTAAAAGAAGCATTCATATAAACACAAGATCACCATCCACTGTTGTTGATTGATTCATAGGGAGACTTGGTGAAAGTAGGATCTCAAGAAGATAATGGTTGTGGTCATTATAGGAAATCCTTAGAGGAGATCTTGATTGATCATATTCTATTAGGTCAATGGTAGTCATATCTCAAAGGGGACCGAGTGAAGGTCAGACTCTTGTGAGATCACTGATGGATATCATTGAAAGGAAATTTTGGTAGGAGATCTTGAGCGATCAAATTCTATTGGGTTAATGACATTATATCCGGTTGGATCACTGAACGTGTCATTGTGTGTTAGTCACCGGAGGTTGCCCGTGAAAGTGTAATTAGTTTGGTTATAGTGGATTAAGTCCTTCGATAAGGAGAAATCATCCTTGCAGGGGTGGACATGAGTAGCCTAGTTAACGGTGAACCTGGATAAAATACTTGTGTCCTTTTCTCTTCATTATCCTTATAGATTTTATCAATTGAGGGCTTAGATTTTCCAAAGGGGAATGTTTCCTATGAACATAATTCAAACCCCCCTTCTTGTGTTTTCTCTACATTCATTACTTGATATATACTTATTATTATTCATTCTATTATATTATTGTTATATCTCACCCTTCTATTGGTGTAAGGATCGGAAGAGGTCGCTCTTTTTTTACTTTCGAGTTAGTTTAATTTCTGTAATACGTAACACCGGAAAGATGAACGCTATTTGTTGATTGTTTTAGTAATTGTTTGGAGTCCTAAGAATCCTTATGAATTTTGAATTTGTGTTGATTCATTTTAGAAGGTTATTGGATTTCAACTATGATTATGTAAGACCCAACACATACTTTTCCTAGGATATATGCTTATGGTATTAATATGGTACACAAAACATTCATACATAAGCAGCGGAACAAGAATAAGTATTAGTTCTAGTTACAAAAATCTCCTAAACTATCATGGCCAAAATAATACAAATTCTATAAGTACTGATACATAATCATCGACAAGTTAAGCCATCTTACCCTTGCCGCGATCCTGCCTCGAATAAATTGAAAAATAATAATTGGAATAGGGTGAGATTACTAAATCTCAGTGAGTCTCCCTATCTTAAGGATTCGCTCAGTTCTACAGGGTGCATGCATCAAAATGGATTCTCCGTGAATTCGAGTTTTCCTCATAAATGGGTACAAATACACATTAGAGTAACACCGCCATTAGAAATCCCATAACGACTAATAGGATAACCAATAAAAATACAATTGGGTCAAGGCCATAAACAATATGCAGACTCGTACCCATGTACGAGGAATCCAAAAGTATGTTGACGCCCCTTCTTAGGTTACACTATCACACCCTCGGTGAGTTACACCCGAGCATCGCATCAAGAGACTCGCACCAGTCACATCATAATGACTCAGATCATTCCCAATGGAATTCCATCTGTGACGAGTTACAGAAGTGACATTTGCTAATGTGGTGTCACATCCACGTTCATCATCAAAGCACATGTGATTAGATCCCCAGTATGAAAACGCCATCTTGATAACACGAGCCCACTGGGAGAAAGCCTAATGGTGTAGCCTACGTGGCACCTTTAGAGGAGAGTAAACCATAGTGATATTGTCTACATGGCCTCACTATCTCACCATAACAAGCACACCGATGTGGTCTCCACAAGTGGGGAAACACCCCAAAGGACCCCCAACCGCACATCACAATGGTAGCTCAGGTGCGTATGACATACCGATCATGCAGATGTAATCTCCACAAGTGTGAAAACGCCCTGCCATTTTGGACCACAACTACACATTGCAACGGTATAAGTGGCACACAAGGTCTACATCATAAGTGATTTACGTCCTAGAATCCGGGCCAACTCCGATTCAGGCATATATCACACAATCGCATCAACAATGCAACAAATCCATCTGAACATTCAATCTGAAATGAACGAGAACATACAATAAGTCATATCATATCATTTATCATATAATGTGATTTCAACATAATCATGCATGGTCATGTCATAAGCAATGGATGATTTCACAAGGATTATATTCATGATGCAATTCAACTACAGGCAATCACAAGGATCAAGGAGGCGCCTGATACTCACTAAGGCATGGGACTACACTCAAAGGATTACAATAACATAGTTTTATCCAGGAGGGCACGCTGAGAGAAGCCTCTCGCGCTAAGCGCGCTCTGCAAAATAATTAAATTTCAAGTCCCAGGAGGGCACTCTAAGCGGGACCATTGCGCTAAGCACGAGCTACAAATTTCCAAAATTCAACTTTCAGGAGGGTGCGATGAGTGCGACCCCGCGCACTAAGCGCGATCTACAAAATGCATAAAGAACTAGAACTATATAAGTTCTATTTTTGGGTTGTGAATCCCATTTTCACCTTCAATCTCAGTTACCCACAACAAATAGATACAAAATATAGTACATTGTCATGTTATTCATCAATTAAAAACAACATGCATCAAGATATTTCACTTAAATCCCTAAAACCCCAAGCATATCATAAACCGCATTTCCCCAAGTCACTATCTAAGAGACTCGCCTTAATTAGAGGATGAGAGGGCTGTGAAAATAAGAAGAAAAGATGATGAGGATGGGTACTATTGAGTTACAAGCACGGAATAATGAGGGTTTGAGAGTTGAGATTCTTCTCTTTTTTCCCCTCTTTCCACATTCTTCTTCCCTCTTTCTCTATCTCAACAAATTCTGATTTTTGTTGTTTGTTTTTTCCAATAGAGAATAAATGAGATGTGCCAAACAAGCATATGCAATGCCTTAGTTTCAACTTTCATTGTAAATTCCCCCATTGCCTTATCAACATAATTGGTATGCCCGAAGAGAATATGCTTTGACAAGTCCATAGGATCGTTAGGCTTTATCAGATACAAATTGTAATTTCCTAGTTGCTAATTTTCATTTGGTGAAAATTTGTATCTTTGGATCAGTAATTCTAATAATAATCATGCATGTTTTTGAAATCAGTTCATTCATATTCACTCTTTCATCACTTTTCATTTCACATTTCACTCTTCCATTCTCAATTTTTTATAACAAACTTCGAGGGAGAATGATGTAAACTAAATAATTGAATTTTGTTGATGTATGCTTATTAATAGTAAGGCTTAGATGACGATGTAAGGCATTATTTCACTTCCTAAACAGTGGAGAAATAAGGATATAATCCATAGTTAACCCCCTTGAGCCAGAAGTTAGAGTTATTTCTATTTTCTAAAAACCCTTAATCTAAATTAAGGGCAGGGTAGATTTCGATTAATTTATGGATGCATTCTAATCTCAAGAGAATCAGTCTATCTATGCAAAAGGTTTAAGCACATCCTCTTCCTTGCATACATCATGTAAGATCAAGAAAATAATAAAGATAAAGCTCATAACATCTTCTTTCTCACGTACGTCATACAACATCGATGGGCAATTGAAGATGAAGCTCGCAAAACTGAAACATGGCAGTCACAACCTTCCTGAATCAAAGAAAAAAATCACAAAATAAAAATTTCAAAAAAAAAAAGAGAGAGCCCGCTAAGTCAAAATCAAAAAGCAAAAATTTTGACTTAGGAAAAAGTTAGGGCACCCCGATGGACCAGAAAATTCAAAAGAATAACTCCATGCAAAAATAAGGGATTGAAAATAAATAAATTAAAGAACAATATTGTGACTATCACCTCAATAAGCATTAATTCTTCTCATCAAGTGCTTAAATCTTATCAATGCTTCTACTCATCATTGCGACTACAAAAATTATCTTGCAGACTGAACACATCTATTGGGGTAATTGAATTTAGAAACAGAGAATATCAAGGAGAATGGGGGTGGGATAAAAATATTTGGAGCCTTATATCCTTTGTTTTTTAAACCGTGAACCAGGCCAAGTTACAACCTTCAAAAGTCTTAATTGAAGCTAGGTTTACTATGAAAGCATACTCAATAAGATTTGTGTTAAACTGACTCCTAATGTTTGTTAAATTATCACTAAACCATGTTTCCACTTCTTTATCTATAATCATCCATTTCTTTTCAATAATCAATTTTGATTTCAAGAACTTGCATGTGCATCACATTAGGATTACTTTTCAAAGGGGACAATTTTACTTACGAGTCAATATTTAGCATCAATGAGATTCCAAAAATGGTCTGATCAAAGGCAGCATTTCCAAGAAGCTTCTAACTAGCGGTAAAGCATATAAGAGGACCCCTATAAAAACAAGGGCAACTTCTAATGATCATAGGGGAACATCATCTGAGGATCCTGTTGACTAGGGGAACTTATTCTAAGATCTGGCCAACTTGGATCACTTCTCAAAACACATGTTGATAAACAGTCTACTTTTCAAGATTCAGACACTTGGGGTAACCCATATCAAAACTTATATCACTGAATGGCGGGACCCAAGTTCCTTCTTCGGACACTCCTCCAAATCCTAAATATATGGGCATGCCTTTCAAAATTCAAATGTAGGGGTAAACCACAGCGAGACTCTAAAGCCAGTTCTACATGGTTCATCAAGGGAAAATTATTCCCAAGGATCAGTTAATCAATGGAATGGTGTTTCAGAATTCAAATGTTGGGGCAAGACAGGCCATAAAAGGCAATCCCTCTTCATAATTTCACAATCCCCAGGGGACCTCTATTCTACGTTCACAATCTTCGAGTTCAAAAAGAGTATCGAGAAGTCATGTCAGCATAATACACTACCACTTTTCAATAATAATTCTTGTTGCACTAGTAACCTCTATGAGTCTTAATCATTCTTTCACCCACAATAGGGGCACCATTCAAAAAGCACTCGAGTCATAATCATAAAGCATAAGGCTACATAAATCATGCATTAGGGCTCTTAGATCCATAATCAAGATATACTTATCATCTGATCCATCTGAGGAATTCCGACATCATGGATCGAGCATATCTCAAAGAAGCTTGATTATGCATTCGTATCCAACATCCATTGATACATATCCAAGTCACTCATTACTTACATCAATCAATCATTACATTAAATGCATCAATCAATCATTACATAGAATAAACCATTATGCATGTGAAGACAATCATCATTGTCAAATCAAGTTATCTATTCTACATTGAATCTCGGCAGAAGATTCCCCTGATTGATCTCAGAAGATGATTTTCCAGAAGACCTCGACATAAGGTAATTCTATTTTGAATCTCGACAGTAGATTCCCCTGGTTGATTTTGGAAGATGATTTTCCAGAAGACCTCAGTAGAAGGTAGTTCACAATCGAGTCTCAGCAGTAGATTCCCTGGGTTAATATCAGCAGTTGATTATCCAGAAGACCTCAACAGAAGGTAGTTCACAATCGAATATCAGCAGTAGATTCCTCTGGTTAATCTCGACAGCTGATTATCCATAAGACCTTGGAAGAATGTAGTTTCTCAATAGAATCTCGACAGTATTTTCTCCGGGTTAATCTCAGCAGATGATTTTCCAGAAGACCTCAGAAGAACGTAGTTCTCAATCGAATCTCGACAGTAGATTCCCCTGGTTGATCTCGGCAGTTGATTATCCAGAAGACCTTCGTAGAAGGTAGTTCACAATCGAATCTCGCTAGTAGATTGTCCTGGTTAATCCCGACATATGATTATTCAGAAGACCTCGGCAGAAGGTAATATCTCAATCGAATCTCATCAGTAGATTCCCCTGGTTAATCTTGCCAGGTGATTATCTAGAAGACCTCGGAACAAGGTAATCATACAGAATTTCGGTAGTAGATTCCCTTGGTTAATCTCGACAGTTGATTATCTAGAAGACCTCGGAAGAAGGTAGTTTCTCAATAGAATCTCGGCAGTAGATTCTCCTGGTTAATCTCGTAGATGATTATCCATAAGACCTCAGCAGAAGGTAGTTCTCAATCGAATGTTGGCAGTATGTTCCCCTGGTTGATCACGACAGTTGATTATCTAGAAGACCTCGGCAGAAGGTAGTTCTCAATTAAATCTCGGTAATAGATCTCTCATTAAAATCCTCACATCAAGCATAACATAACCATATCAAAATCTCAAGGTCATTCATAACAGTTGGTGCATCTAACATACGGGAACACCAAAGAGTATTTGATAAAGCATCAAAGTTTATTCTGGTTAGGAAAATGTCGAGAGAGGTTTACGACTACGTCCACGCCTACGCCTGCACTTGCGATAGAACTATCTATGGCACATTGCATTGTTCACCACTCTATATCAAAAATCAAATCAATTTGTATATACATTAATTAGTAAAAAAACATTGGGAAGTTGGTGACTACGAAAACCCGATGTTTTAAAAAGGAAGATTATCAAAAAAACATTTGCAAACATTTGGTGCATGTACATATAAGGAAAATTTAGGGTATATATCAAACTTGGGTAGCACATCAATTTATGGAATTACGCATATACATCATGCATGCCATCTTTCAAATCTACTTTGGTTATTCGAATTTTCTTGGGGTCCATCATTAGTGAGCTTATTTGTGCGAACTAAATAGTTCAAACTTTAAAAGATACCTTGGTTGAGAATCTACACAACCGGTATCATCAGTGAATTTGGGGTTCATTTCTTCGTGATGATAATCTTGGTTGAGTGTAGACACAAACGGTATCATCGATAAATTTGGGGTTTATTTCTTCATGATGATAGACTTGGTTAAGAGCAGACACAATTGGCTTCATCACTAAATTTAGGGCTCATTTCTTCATGTTGATAGTCTTGGTTGAGAACAGACACAACCATTATCATCAGTGAATTTGGTGTTCATTTCTTCATGTTGATAGTCTTGGTTGAGAGCAGACACAACTGACATCATCATTGAATTTGGGGTTCATTTCTTCATGCTAAACAATTATCTTGGTTGAGAACAGACACAACTGGTAAAAATCCTATCTCATCTTTGATCTAGTTATCTAAAGATTTGATTATCAAAAACAACTTTTTATTTGCGATATAACTCATTGCATCAATCTCCATGCAACAATGGGCTATCAAGCTTTTTCAACCATCTACCCCCTAGGTTATGGTAGATGTGTGAATTGTCGGATTCATAATATTCATTCCCTAGGTTGCAATGAATACGTGAATTTATCCTCGAATTGTTTACTCCCTAGGTTGTAGTAAACATGATGAAGTCGACAATATAACTCATTGCGTCGGTCTCCATACAACGATGTTTTTATCAAGCTTTTTTAATTATCTATCCCCCAGGTTGCGATAGGTATGTTAATTTTCAGGGTTTTATTATTGATCCCCTAAGTTATGATGAATAACGTAAGCCCATCCCTGTTTCCTTTTATCTCCTAGGTTATGGTAAATGCATAAGTTCATCCTCAAACTTTTTACTCCCTAGGATGTAGTAGACAGGACGAAATTTGCAATATAACTCATTGCGTCAGTCTCTATGCAGCGACGTTGTTATCAATCATTTTAAATCATCTACCTCCTAAGTTGCGGTAGATGAGAGAATTAATTTTCAAATATCTATCTCATAGGTTGTGATAGATATGCGAATAAATATGTGTAATACATTGTATCAGTCTCCATACAGCAATGTGTTATCAAACTTTATATTATTCATCCCCTAGGTTGCAATAAATAGACAAAATCAAATCAAATTCAAACTTACTATATTAGTCTCCAAGCATTAGTAAGTCAATTTTTCAAAACCTGTATTATTTACCTCTTAAGTTATGGTAAATATATATAAAAAAATCTACGATGATCTCTTTTCTAGGTATTGGCGAGTTATATCCGTCGTCATATCTAGGTCAAACTTATTCTTCAATCTCTCTATTCAAACTCTAGTAGGATGATACATCGTCATCTTTGCCTATTTCTTTATTCAAACTCTGGTAGGATGATACATCATCATCTTTGCCTATCTCTTTATCCAAAACCTGGTTGGATGATACATCATCATCTTTGCCTATTTCTTTGAACTCTGGGATATGTTATATCAGTGTATCTTTGTTTAATAAATCTTTGGTCCAAATTGTTAGGCTTCCATTATTTAATAACCCTCCAATTCGAATGTGCGAGACCTGCACGTTCTCGCACCATTCAATTGAAGTGTGATTAAATAGAGGCAACCGTCATACCCCAAATTTGCCCGCCCTTTATTCTAAGGTCAAAAAATATTTTCAAAACATGGGTTTTATAATATTCTTTGATTTTTTTATAAATAGTCGCTTTCAAATCTATTTAAAAATATAATGATTTATTTCAGATCATTTGTATTTTTGAATAAACAAATATTTGCTAGTCTTCATGTACTTTCAATTGGCTTTTTATTTTGAATAAGTAATATAGCACAGTTGGTAAGGAATTAAGCTTGCAAGTATGACGTCGCGGGTTTGAATCTCTTGTGTCGCACTTTCAACATTTTTTTTCTATTTTTTTGTTACTAATTTTCTTTCCTTTTTTTAAAGATCGGACTTTGGGTTTTACATTCATTTTGGGCTAACTTACTGGCTAAGTATTTTTAACCTAATTAAGATCTATAAATAGGACTCTTATTTGCCCTAAATTTTCATCCACAATTTCTCACAATTAGCAAATCCACAATATAATCACGAATCCATAAAAATTTGCTATTTTTCCTTTCAAACTCTTAGAATTCTTGTTTTGGTTTATTATATGGTTGTTTACTATATCAGACAACAATCCTAAAATTGATTTTCAAACTTATTGTGTTGATTTTTATTCTTAGTCGATGATCTCATATGAGATCTCTCTTTTAATTTCAATTTTAATTTGTTTGTCCTTTCAAACCACATGATGTTAATCCGATGATAATTTATTTTCCTAAACTATATTTTTTCTTAATTATTTTAAAGACCAATTTTTTAATTGTTCGCCATCACACACTCATATTTTATTTTATTTTATTTTTCTTCACAACTTTTCACCAAAAAGAGTAACTTTTCCCACTTTTCTAATGCATGTTTCCTCACACTTTGTACACAAGAAAAACCTTTTTCTGTCTGCCACACAGTTGGTACATTGTTTTTTTACGATTTCTATTTTATACACCTACAATAGAATTATTCCTTAATAACATCAAATTCATAACATATTAACAATTTTTTCGGCAAAATCACAACAACACAAAAAAGAAGATAAAGGAGAGAGGTTTAAACCGAGAAAAAATTCATCCTTCCACCATCTCAATCGGGAATCTATATCCAACGTCGTAGTCTCTTTTCTTGCACAACCGACGCGCATCCACTCTGATCAACCATCACAGACCAACCCCCTCTATCATTCTCTGCACGCAGCCGCCACTCAAGTTCGACAAAGAACAACCAGCACACCTTTGCAAGCACCCCGCACCTCCACCAGTTTGAAGTTGCAACCCTCTAAACGCCCAGATTTTGCGACCACCGGTAGCAGCTCCGCCAGGCTATGCACTCTCTACGTTCAACCCACCATCCATATCCGTTTTTTTAGTTTGTTTTACAAGAATAAGGTAAGAAGGAAAAACAATAGAAAAATGAAGATTTGGTCAAAGGCTTTCACCATTGACGACATGGTTCTCTCCGATTTCAGATCCCGCGAGTGACTCACGACAACCAACACACATGGCCAGCCTCCGACAACATCAACCAACACGAGACCAATCGCGCTACCGCCGTAGCCGCGAACTCCGACGACTTCCAGGTCTGCACAATTATCAAGTAAAAGAACAGGAATTCAAAAGAAGATGAAAGGAGAAAGATAGTCAAATATATAAAGTTTGTTTTGTGTTTTGAGTCAGATGTGAATCTCACGAAAGAGGAAGTGTGAGTCTAAATCTTTTGTTGTATATTTGTGTTATTACTCCTTTATATTCTTATTATTTTATTTTCTAATTGCCACGTGTCGTAAAGATATTGGCTATCGTTATATATATATATACATATATATATATATATATATATATATATATATATATATATATATATATATATATATATATATATATATATATATATATATATATATATATATATATATATATATATATATATATATATATATATATATATATATATATATATATATATATATATATATATATATATATATATATATATATATATATATTATTTGTTGTTTTCCATTCTTTTTTGTGTTATTTAGTTTTAGGTTTTTGTTATTGATTAAGAAATTGGCCTAATAAAAAGGGGCCTTCACCATTTCTAGTCATACTCTATATTCCTATACTCACCTTTCAGAATTTATTTAGTTTGATTTATTTAATTAGTTTTTATTTAAGTAGATTCAAATATTTATTTAGTCCTTAATTTTTGTTTAAACAACAAAAAATAACGTATATATAAAATATAATATTTTTTTAAATTAATTAATTCAAATATTCTATAAATAATAGGATGTTCATCTTTGAGTAATTAAATCGATCGACACATTGTCTACTGGTTACTATTCAAAATCAAATAATTAAAATCCACGCGACTAATCAAATACTCCATCCGCGAGCGACACGTGGCCAATATTTAGCCACGTGATGAAGAGACTATATCAGACTCTCCCCGTTTTGTGTTCTACCATACTCACTGCAACTTAAATACTAAAACAGATAACCAACCATCAAACCAATTTTTTTTAACATAATCAAAATCAAGATATTTTCCAAAAAAGGATTAAGGAGAATTATTTTCAAAGTTAACTGTGAACTGCATCTACGATCACTCAACTTACAACCCAAACAAGGTTCAAGGATAATTCGAAAGCAATTCTACGCAATCCTATAAAAAATATCAACCACCGCGAACTACAGATAAGTAGGCATACGACAAAAATCACCATTCATCTAAAATTGAGTCCAACAACTTAGACTCTATAACTTTTTAGGGTTATCCTTTATATCCCCTTCCTTAGGATAAAAGTTAAGGGTGACGACTCTTATTTTCAAACACGTTACAACACAACGGTATAAGTGACACACAAGGTCTACGTCATAAGTGATTTACGTCCTAGCATCCGGGCCTACTTTGATTCAATCATACAATCACCGAGATCACACAACACGATATGCACAATCACACAGTGCATCAAACCACCATGACAAACACACCCGAGCGTTCAACCGGAATGAACGGGAACAAGTAATGATCGCGTAATTGCATTTTTCACATAATGCACTTCTCAACACTTTGCATATAATAATCATACATATTACACACACCACTCTTCAAATTTCATTATTCTTAAAAACTCTTGTTGTATTCATATCTTATTTCCAGGATTGTTGGAATTAAGATTACTTGGTTTTGTATTCTTTTTTGTCCAAGATTGTTGAAAGCAAGAGGTTAAAGTGAGAGGATTGTTCTCATTTCAACTTGGTTGATCCAAGAGGATTGTCCTTGGTGGTTTTATTGTTAGAGTCTTGTATAGAAAGACTAGGTTGTCTTGTCTAGAGATCTAACAATAATGAAATCTTTTTCATGTTGAAAGGGGATTGGATTACTCTCGGACTGTGAGGGAACCAGAATACATCCTTGTGTTTTTTACTTTTCCGTATTTATCACTTTCATCTTAAATCTAACCAGAAAAGAAAAACATTTCTAAACCTTAAACAACAAACCAAAAATGAGAACAACTTGTTTCTAAAATCAGATAAATTTTTAAAGTCTTAATTCACTCCCTCTTAGGCGCACTCAATACTTACAGAGTTTAGTGTAAGTACAATAATTTTTATAAATTATTTTCATGTCGTCATTAGAAAAGTTGCATAGTTTTCCCTTATTTTTGAAGAACATTATATTTTTTTGTTATTATTGTGTTTTTTATTTTCTTTATATATTTTATTTCCATAATACAAATATTTGTTAATAAGATATTAATTAGAAGATTTTCTTATATTTATAAATATTTATAGATATTCAAAAATATTTTATTATGCGTTTGATTTACTAAAAAATGAGGGACTAGACATGACAATTTTTTTGGTACCATGTTTGATGTAGAAATTAATCAAAGGAATAAATAAAATATGTGTCAGGAGACTGAACAAAAACATGAATTTTTAATTTTCAACAAACTATGAGACAATTCTTTATCCCAAACATAAATTATCATAAACTGTCAAAATATAATAATTTATATATCAATAATGAATCTTATATATAAAAACTTATATTATTGTATTCAATATATAAACTTATCAAACAAAATAGATTAAAAAAATTATCCAATGCCTCAATTATCAAACACAGTATAACATAGAAAATTATTTTATATTGTTTTATATTGTCGTGTATTGATCTGTCTAGTATTTATCATATGGACCAGATCTAAATATGAACTTTTTAAATTTTAATAAAATATTTTATTTGTGTTTGTGATGCGGTGGGAAAACTGACTTGAGGTTTTGCGTTTGTGTTCGCAAATGTTGCGGTTAGCAAGAGTCACCACCGACTTTTCTTTTATCCAAAAGGAAAGGTAAAAAAGCACAGGAAAGACCTTTGAGATGTTTTCTTGAGTTCGGGGGTAGATTATGAAAAGGGGAGGTGCTAGCACCCTTTTCATCCATGGTTTTCCATGGGCTCTTAATTACTTGTTTAGATCACTTGCTTTGCTTTGTTTGAAATGATGTTTGATGTGGTTTTTGAAAGTATTTTGTAAAAGAGGCCATTTGTTTAGGAGATCTTTGTAATGATTGTCGTTCGTAAGAATGTATACAAAGATGTTTGTCTTTTAAAAAATGTTTTCAATGTTTTGTAAGATGTTTTGAAATGTGTGTGTGTTTGTTTTTGAAAATAACAAGGATTGTTTTGAAATGTAACAAGTAACTAGAAGCTATCTACCTACTCAAATGTCTTTCTTGTGCATTTTTATTCCTTTGACATTGTTGATTTACCACTGATTTGGTAAACAACTTTATCTTTGGATGTTAACGGGACGGGTGTGGGTCATCGTATAGCTATGATAGCAATGTTGCCAAGTATATTAGCAATTTTTTGAGGGACCAAGATCATTTTGTTTTAGGCAACCTTGAATATCGTCATCGAGGGTCTATGATCTTATATTTGTTTTGTTTTGCCAAGATACTTCGCGTGCGTAACATGGCCATTTTATTTTAGGCAATCAAGTGGGAGAAACCCTAAGGATGCTTGTGTGCAAAGGGTATCATTTTCATGCTTTTGTCTTGTATTTAGGGTTTCCTATTTTGCTTTGTTTTTGTTCTTATCATGCAAACCCTAGTTTACTAATCATAGTATATAAAGCGATAAATTGCGTAAAATAAACTAAGCTATTACAACAATTATTATGGGAGGGTGGATACAAGTTTTGAATGGGGATTTTGCACAAATATAAACCTAAAAATATTATTACAACCCAATCGAATATTGCGCGAATTAAATAAATATACAAATATTAAAATGCAATACTATGTATTTATGTGAAAAATGTTTTGGTATTTGTTTTTTTGTATGAGAAAATGATTTAATTTAAACCCTAAAAATAAAGAAAAATAAATATATTAATTCTTTTTTGAAAGGGGTAAACCCTAAATTTTATTTAAAGAAGATAATATTCTATATTTATTATTTTGCACATTTTTTGTATAAGAAAATAATAAATAATATTATATGTTAATATTAAAAATTAAATATGTATAAAAATAAGTGTTTATGAGTATAAATAATATAATAAAAATATTAAGTATTTTTAAATATATTTACAGGTTATTTTAAGAAAATAAGTTCTATTCTATTAAATTAATTAATTTTTATGTAAAAAATAATAAAAAAAATAAAATAAAATTGCAAAAAATAAAGAAATTATTTTTAGGATTTTTATTATTCAGAAAAATAAATAAAAGCAATAAATATGAAAATATGAAAAAAAAAATATGAAAATATAACAAATAAGCCAGGGGTGCAAATAGTAAGTCAGGGGGGGTGTGATTAGCAAAAACAAAAAGGCCAAGCGCCAAAAAGCCCAGAAGCCACTTCATCCCTGTCCTTGGTCTTCTTCTTCGCGCGCCATAGTTCAAATCTGTAACTTACTCATGCTTGCACAAAAACAAAAACTCATAACATGAAACATGTGGCATTTAAGCTCATGATTCCAACCATGTAAATTATGTAACCTAACTCTTAAAGATCAAAGAGAATTTTGGAACCCCTAATTCGTGACCTAAAAATTTCAGAGTTTTCAATCTTCAAATTCTCTCAGCACAGCTAATATAAATGAAAAGTATGTATATGTACAACTTCGTTATGATAAGGACTGCATTTTTTCTTCACAAATCGTGGCTTGAGGATGCCTATTCAGAGAGATAGAGTTTAAGAAATATACCTCCTTCAGCTGGATTAGAGTAGAGCAATGTAGGAATTTTAATGGAGGCCTGAGGATTGTTTGAGCTTCCTTGAACTTCCCTGAAGCTAATCCAATGCTTATCTTGCTTTGAGGATGGCTGGAAATCTCTGGACAAGTCAAGCTGCAAGCTTCCAAGGTGAAAATGGTGGGTGCTGAAATAGGGGTTACAGAACCAGGGTAATGGCTTGGATTTCTTTGGTATGATGTGTATGAGATGTTTCAAGTGTTTAAACACAAAATGCACGAGCCAAAAATTGGTTGGCTGTGATTTTGCAGAAGTTCTGAGTTTTGGGCAGTTTTGAGTGTTTTTGAGTTTTGAAGAGTTTCAGCTTCAAATCAATCGTGATAAGCCT